AGCGAACATTGGCTAGTCTACTTTCAAGTGTGGTCTAGAGCAGACACTTGCGAGATACTGTACCGACGCTCAGTGCGCTCAACTCACACCAAAGTATCACCTGTGTACTTCTGTATATTCGACCAAATATATATATAGTATCTTAGTGTCTGTGTTTATTTGTCACCATACTTTACGTAACAATAGAACCGTTACAAAACATTAACCTGTCGAGTATAATATTCTCAATAACTTTACACATACCGAGTGTCAGGGAGATGGGTCTGAATGTTTGTGAATTTAGCTTGGGTATGGGTATTATAAGTCTCCGTGTCCAGCGGTCAGGTAAGACACCGGCCTCAAACTTTGAATAAACAGTTCTAGCCGAAGACTTACTCAGATCAGCTAGTACTTACATGCTATATATATAGTATGTTGACCAGACCACACACTAGAAGGTGAAGGGTCGACGACGTTTCGGTCCGTCCACGACCATTCTCAAGTCGATTCGTTTCGGACGACGGACCGAAACGTCGTCATCCCTTCAACTTCTAGTGTGTGGTCTGGTCAACATACTTCAGCCACGTTATTGTGACTCATCGCCTGCATGCTATAGTATGTTTTGCCGTCCTCTCCGGGAGAGGTAGCCTTACCTCTCGAGTGCATTTTTTTTTTTATTTCAAAGGTAATTTATTTCAAAGATAAAGCTACAGCTATCATCTGGGTGCAGGGTACATTTTTAGGGATACTGATTGTTTGCCTTTCAAAACTTTGGGGTTTTACATCATTTATGGCGTATGAACTGAGGATGGCAAAATTATCACTAATTCGTGTACAACTTATCCGTTTGGGACAGCATTGTCGATGGGACCGTGGACACTAACATAATCACGTCTTCCACCCCAGAGATGTGTGACGTTTTACGAATTAAATTTGACTACGGACATATTGTTCCCAGAGATATTTAACAAAAAGTTACCATTTCTGCTTTGGTGTCACTCAAGCTATTGTGTCTAGCAATAAAATCACCCAAGACAATAGTTTGACTTACTGGTGATTTTTGGAAGAGCCTCCACCATTTGATCACACCTTTCATATACATTGTCAAAAATAAAAAATAAACAGTCGCTATAGGAATTTGACGCTACTAGTAATATGAGATCACTTCGTGGTTCATTAGGTTACTTTTAACGTGTGTCAAGACACCAACATCATGTAAAACAACATTTGAAAATGCTACACAACCCGAGAGTTTTTGTGGTGTTTTGTTTCTGTCCTTATAGGCTATGTGTGTGGGGGGGGGGAGGGGTCCTGCAGCAGCGTATCCCCGAGGATCAATGCTTAGAGCAGTAGAGGCCTCTGGGGTATTTGCTTTTTAGAATAGCTGCTGAAAGGCGGGGACCAGGAGCTAAAGCTCGACCTGCAGCTATATATAAAGATTATGGCACCGAAAGTGGCACGCATGTATGGTCGATCGTTCGAGGACCGAAATGAACGACACTGATCCAAAGGTGATACTTGCTTGTTGCACGGTAACCGCTGTACGGCTGTTATAGTGTTTTTCATTCATACAATTAATGAATATTTGGCAAATGTTTATGAGGACGGGCTGTCTTCTGTCATACTTCTCTAAAACTTTCAACTATATAAGCTGCAAATATAAATGTCAACCAAGCCAAAACACACTAGGCACAATTATACATAAAACTGAAAATAACATTAATTTATATTTTAAGAGAATACCGTTCATTACACAGTACTTAAAAATATACACATTATACTTATAAACGTCGTTTTCCCCTCTATAACAATAAAACAAATAAAAACATGCATATTTAAGGCACTTTGAGAAAAAAAAATCATCCCTGTATTTCTAACTAAATCAAGACTTACGTAGCTAAATTTAGCCTACTAGCTAGGTTACTTCGTGAGCCCCAAGTGTTCCGCGAACTGATACTTGTGATGTTTAACCTAGATACATTGTATATATATCCTTAGACAGCTTGCACTACGGCACACCAAGCCACATAAATATATATATACATTTAAACGTCAAACAAGTACTTACCGTCTGTTGAGCTGCGAGTTACGGAACGCCAATATGTTCACTTTTGTACTCGCAAATGTCTTAATTCGAGAAAATCACTTTGAGAATCAATTTTTCAAATTTCGAAACACCACACATGAAATAACTTAGTCTTGAAGTACTTGAGGCAGCGTCGTAGTGCACACACGCAAGTAGGGAGGCAGCACGCGCGTGTCTAGTGCACACACACACACACACAAGGAGTCCCGGGGACAGTATGGCGCGGGGCAGGTCAAGGCCGCCGCGCCTCGCCATCAACTAGTCAAGTATAGTCTTCTAAACACTAACTTGTGCTCAACTCTATGTTTTCTAGCAGTAATTATACATTTATTTCCGAAAATATTTACAAATTAAATCGTACTGCTAAACTAAATCATTTTATTGTCGTTTATGACAATGTAATAATATGGTGATGTTATGATTTATAGCTTTGAAGACCACGTACTGGAACCTCTTGGGTTATTTACACAACATGTATTTATATGTTGTATTTGTGTGTTTAAATGTATGTTCACTCCTAGTTACCACGGATAAAAATGTACGCAATGCATCTATTACTGTAGTAAACAGAATTGAAAGTACTTTGACTTAGACGTCATTGCTCTGGCTACTCTTAATAAGCACAACAGCATGTAATTTGAAATATCCTGGGCCCAGATTCACGAAGCAGTTACGCAAATACTTACGAACGTGGACACCTTTCCTCAATCTTTGACGGCTTTGGTTACATTTATTAAACAGTTTACAAGCATGAAAACGTCCCAATCAACTGTGATATTGTTATAAACAGCCTCCTGGTGCTTCGGAGCTCTTTAACTGTTTAATAATTATAAATAAAGCAGCCTAAGATTGAGAAAAGATGTACAGGTTCGTAAGAGTTTGCGTAAATTCTTCGTGAATCTGGCCCCGGGCCAGATTCACCAGGCCAGAAAATTGTACGTACAATTTTGAAGGTGTTTTACTATACTTAAAACATGCAAATCTAACCTATGTCATGCTTCTTGAATAATTAGATCCACTAATAATAAAGTCCCTAACTTTTAGTGATAGGGTGAATTCATATTCATGATAATTTATTCTCTACTATACTCAGAATTGCGCCAAATTTCCTGACTCGGAAATTGTATCATCATGTATAGATAAACTATAAATTTATCTTTTAGAGTCCCATAGATTTTAGTTAATGTTTATATGGTAGTTTGAGTAGCTTCTTTGAAACGGTGGCTTATTTGTATCTTCCGTTGTGACCTTGTGGAAAGATTGTTAATTTATAAATCCCTTTACGAGACACTCTATATACAAAATTTAATATAGATTCAATAAAACTTCAATCCTAGTTTATATGAGGCTATTTTCAAAATATAACTCCTCCAGTACGATATGAGCTTCTTAATACCAGGTTGTTAGTTGTTAAGGTATGGTGAGCCTTATTATGATTCTGTGGTTCTTATTTAGATGAATTATCAGGAGTCTGTGAATCACTTACTAACATGATGTGGGTCGTATTAGGATGCTGTGAGTTGTTCAGATGGCAACTTTCTAGGACGAGTACACGAGTTTTAATATTATGATGAATCCTACTGGGATAATAGGTGGAAATAATTCTCGATATTATTTATTTGTTACTGATGACAAGTATTCTGCAGAACTAGCCCGCGGGTCTCTGTCTCTGACCAGGCCTCCTGGTTGCTGGACTAGTCAACCAGGCTGTTGGACGCAGGTACTCGCAACCTGACATATGAGTTACAGCCTGGTTGGTCAGGTATGCTTTGGAGGTGCTTATCCAGTTCTCTCTTGAACACTCTGAGGGGTCGGCCAGTTATGTCCCTTATACGTAGTGGAAGCGTGTTGAACAGTCTCGGGCCTTTGATGTTAATAAGTTCTTTCTCTTTCAGAGAACCTATTGCACCTCTGCCTATTATTGGCTGCTTACCTTAATTTAGTTTATTAGGGTCTCAATATTCTGTTCAGTGGATGTATAGCAGAAAGGTTACACAGTGACATGATGAGTTCAAGTACTGAACCCCAGTGATCTTCAACCCAAGCAGGTCCAACCACTTGGGCTGGACGGTATAGAGACGGCCTTGCTTCTTGCAGGTGTGCTTTTCATCTCCGACCGTCCAAGTAGTTGGACACTATTCCTTCCCTCCGCTCTATCCCCATCAAGCAGGTATCCGAAATCCGTATAGCCTCAAATACCTCCCATTTGCTATATAAGTCGTAAGGCTTAGTGCTCTGTCAGAATAATTACCTTACCTTTAAAGACTTATTTTAACTAATGGAGTATCAATGTTAAATTTTCTTTCATTATTCCTTCAGGGTCTATATTAACACTACTGTGTATCTTTATTATATTTGGTAAAGCCCTTACATGCGAAACATCACGCATAATAAAGTCAACTCTCATTGTGATGTTTCTGTCCTTAGTTGTCAGTGCTTTGAACTCTATTCTATCTTACACATCTTGATGTTGAATTCCTCTGTTTAACTATTTATGTTGATATGTTGGTCTCATAACTGAAATATGAATTAAGTGACTCATCATCAGAGTGACTATTGTTTAGAGTAAAGGTAATTAGAAGGAAATTATTGCAAAACTTTAAGAAAGGGACACGGGAAGCAGTACAGCACTAGGCTTGATGTCTCCCTCTCTGAGACATATTTCTTTCCTGATTTCATTCACTCAAACTATATTAACAACGGAAACAGAATTATTAATTTACTGGTCTTATCTGTTCATTCGTCTTCGATAATTGTTTAATTCTAGTATATAGCCTCAAAAATATATCGTACCATATGTCTTTAACTTATTTGTTTATTAATTTATTTTTATATTTGCACAGACGATATTGAAGTTGTTAGTCTGGGTTGGCTGGAGACTTGCGTATTGTACTTCACAGAGTACTATTAATATGTTATATATGGTGTCCTACAGGCCCGCGAGCAGAATCGGAGGAGGAGCGCCATGCCGGCTACCAACCGTAGCAAACCTGCCATGGAGCTCTACCGACCTCCAAGTAAGCATTTACGCCAATCCCTCATACACCCATGCCAGTACACTTCCTACCAGCTGTATCAACCAATTTCCTACACCCAAAATCACTCACAAATTATACATAACTTCTGTATGTGCAAAACTCTTAAATTTATGTACCAAATGAATGAAATATATATAGCTCTTATTCTATGGCCCTGTTATACGGATCATACTGTATGAACAGTTCCATATTGCAAGGATAAGAGTAGTAGTTGATTTCTTCTATATTTAAAAGTTCGCGTGAATTGCACTAGTTTATTGTTCATTTATATCGTTTTCCGTGAGCTATAAAACTTAATTTTTGCTTTTATTGGAACCACTGTAAGCCTGCCATGTTAAATAATTAAAGAATAGCGATGTTGAATATGCCAGGGTATATGTAAATGTACAATATATTCGCATGTGAGTCAATTCGAATTGGCTATGGTGTTGACAAATGACCCACAGTCTACTCCACAGCACTTCGAGGACCCGGCATCTTCGATAACGCGAACGGCGAGGCTGTTATGAACGGTAAAATGGTTCAGAACGGCACAGTCTACGACACCAGATCCAGCCTCAATGTTAACGCTCGCGAATTTGTTTCCGTTAGCACCAGGCCTCCCCTCCAGCACTCAAAGTCCTCCAGTAGCGTGCCCCTTCAGGTTAGTCGTGTGGCACGGCAGTTTAGTAACGTTGGTCTACAAGTAAGTATATAGCAACTTCGGTTAGAGAACTTCCAGGTAAGTAGAGTGTTAGTTCTGGAGCCAGATTCACGAAAGCACTTACGCAAGCACTTACGAACGTGTACATCTTTCCTCAATCTTTGACGGCTTTGGTTACATTTATTAAACAGTTTACAAGCATGAAAACTTCCTATTCAACTGTTGTTATTGTTATAAACAGCCTCCTGGTGCTTCGGAGCTCATTAACTGTTTAATAATTGGAAACAAACCCGCCAAAGATTGAGAAAAGATGTACAGGTTCGTAAGTGTTTGCGTAAGTGCTTTCGTGAATCTGGCCTCTGGTTAGTAGCGGCCACCCGCCACAGTAGCCTAGTAAACTTCCAGGTGAGTAGAGTGTTAGTTCTGGTTAGTAGCGGCCACCCGCCACAGTAGCCTAGTAAACTTCCAGGTGAGTAGTGTTAGTTCTGGTTAGTAGCGGCCACCTGCCACAGTACCCTAGTAAACTTCCAGGTAAGTAGAGTGTTAGTTCTGATTAGTAGCGGCCACCCGCCACAGTAGCCTAGTAAACTTCCAGGTGAGTAGAGTGTTAGTTCTGGTTAGTAGCGGCCACCCGCCACAGTAGCCTAGCTACTCATTCAAGCTTGTTTGTACTCTTTCAGGTAAGTATTGTGTCCATTTAGATAAGCAGCAAGCCCACCTTTAGCAAAGAAGTGTACCACCAACCGTTCAGGAGAGGAGCGCTTCATTTCAAGGAATTTCCAGATCAGTTCGGGTGAGCAGCTAGTCCATTCCTTCCCCCAACATAGGTAGAGTGTCTACCAACAAGTTAAAAGATAATGATATAAGGAGACAGCAGACCAAAATCAATAAACTATAACGAAAAGGCAACTACACAACTCAGAGATAAAATATTTTATAAGCGAGTATAATTCTAGAATTATGGTTGACCAGTCCAGTTAATTCTAGCCTGGTTGACCAGTCCAGCAACGAGGAGGCCTGGTCGACGACCGGGCCGCGGGGGTCGCTGAGCCCCGGAATCACCTCTAGGTAACCTCAAGGTTGCATAGTTCTTCAGGTAAACAGCAGAGTTCTTCAGAATCAGTCTCAAGCAACTATTCATTGTATGTATCAGTACGCTTTGTTTATTTTTGTCTTAAGTACAACAGTAATTTTAAATATTGTACATCTCTGAGGCTGTACTCTTGAACAACTCATCTTCTGGCGTCACAATACTTACACAATATTGATGAAGGAGGCGCTGATCCAATGATACTTGAGGGCTCATTTCATCAGTGATGTTAAACCCTCAAGTCGTAATGACATGTTTGCTACCATTCCAGGGTCGTCCTGGTGGTCTGCAGCACTCCAAGTCTGGCAGTAACCTCCGACAGACCACCAACGGCGACTTACGACCCCCCAGTGGCTCCCCTCCCAGGGTACACTTCAGCGACGACAAGGAGAACGACCCACAGCTTAAGGTACGACAGGAAACAACTTCACATAAGAGACCAAATGTACGTGATTAGGGAAATTAAAGCACTTCCATTCGGATGCTGCTTCGTGGTGGTAATTACTTACAATCACTTTTGGCTGTGGTAATTACTTTGGGCGTTCTTGGTGTGTGTGGGGGGGGGGGGGGGAATGACTTGTGGGATTTATATTTTACGTTAATTGTTACGTTGTGCAATTAACAAGTTTTCAGCTGGTAGGCTGCAGGATCCAGTAAGTTCAGATCCACTGATGGATCTGAGATTATATTTGATGTCTGAAAGTTTCTTTGATGAACGAAGATGTCTTAGAAAGTTTCTTTGATGCACGAAGGTAACTTAGAGAATAACTTTGATGTCTCTGGGAATAACTTTTGAGGACATGAGTAATATTTTGATGTCTTTGATGTCTTTGAGTGTGTTATTGACGTCTTTTAGTGTGTCCTTGACGTCTCGAAGAGTGTCTTTTACTATTTTTATTACTCCAAGAAGTATACTGTTAGTTACGAAAGTGCTGAGAGAAGTTATGCTTGACTATATTTTTAGTTGAGTGAACAATAATGTTAGTTAAGAAAGTGTTGAACGAAGCTACACTTGACTATTTTTAGTTGAGAGAAGTGTTATCTTAGTTTAGAAACGAAAAGTGCTTGAATGAATGTGAATGAATATGATGAATGTGCTTATTTTCAGTTGACTGACGAGTAATTTTAGTTAAGAATTGATGACTGTGACTATTTTTTTAGTTGACTGGCGAATATTATAGATACAAAAGACAAGAAAAGATGATGGACATGGCTATTTTTAATTGAATGACGATAGATAAGGTTAGTTATGAACAGTGTTGGAATGTTTCCCTTGACTATTTTTTTGCTTAGAGAAAGATTATTTTAGTTAAGAACAGTGTTGAACGAGGTTAATCCTGACTATTTTTAGTTGATTGACGAATGCTTTTAGTTAAGAAATGGTGAACGTAACTATTTTTTTAGTTCATTGAAAAATAATTTTAGTTAAGAAATGACAAGAAAAGAATGTCTTGTTATATTTGTTACTGTATAAAGTGAAAATTTGTTTAAGAACAGTGTTGTGGAGAACATTTAGAGAACATGGTGAATATGGAGAAACAGGTGAAAAAATATGACTTAAACTTGAAGAGAACATGAATAATGAGTGTAAAAGTTGTACAGAGAACATGCGATGAACATAGATAATATGACAAAGAACACAAAGAATATGACAAAGAACACAGAGAATACGAGGATTAAACTTGTGAAGAACTTGCTGAGAACATGGAGAATATGACAATGAACACAGAGAACATGGAAGAGAATGCGAAGAGCACAGAGAACATGGTGTGAACATTGGTAGAAAATGGGGAATATGGAGATTTAAATTGGGTTAAAATTGGACTATTAGTAGCGAAAATACACTTATAAACGTGGTCTCTGACAAATTTTCGGTCTCAAACTGGACTCTGATTAATTTCGGTCTTAAAATGAACTCTTGATTAATTTTGGTCTTCAACTGGTCTCTGACAGTATTTTGGTCTCAAACTGAACTCTGATGAATGTTAGTCTTGAAACGGACTCTCTCAAATTTTGATCTCAAAGTGGTCTCTGTTAAATTCCGGTCTTAAAATGGTCTCTGTCATATTTTGGTCTCAAAGAGGACTGTAAAATTTTCGGTTTGAAACTGGACTCTGATTAATTTTGGTCTTTAACTGGACTCTGACATTATTTGAATTTCCTCCATAAGAATCCTTTTAGTCCAAATCGGGAACTTTTGCCCTAAATTTCCTCCATAAGAACTCTTTAAGAATGCAGTTGTATGAAAAATGCTGAAATATTTTGGTCTTAAATGGACTCTTGTCAAATTTCGGTCTTCAACTGAACTCTGATGAAAATCGGTCTTTAACTGGTCTGACAAATTTTCGATCTTTAACTGACAAAACAGCAGTAAAGGGATATAAAACTTACTGCTAAGATGTCTATTTTCCTAAACAAACTTCTATTAACATATTTTCTGAAAATGGACTTTTTGTAGATTTTCGGTCCTAAACTTCTATGATAATATGAAATCTGAAATATTTTCATAAAACTAAAACTCTGAAAAAAATTAATTTCCTCCATAAGAAACCTTTAAGTCCAAATCGGGAACTGGCCCAAAATATTTTCCCCATAAGAAACCTTTAACTCCGAATAAGTCAATTTCACCTCGATTTTCCCTCTCAAGAAACCTTTAAGACCTTTCAAACGGGACTATGAAATGAAAATGAAACAATTTTCCTCCATAAAGAACCTTTCAAATGGGCAACTTTTGTCTCGAATTTTCCCCATAAGAACGGCCCTTATCAAGTAGTATCGGACCGTCCTGGGCCCTTATCAAGTAGTGTCGGACCGTCCTGGGCCCTTATCAAGTAGTGTCTGACCATCCTGGGCCCTTATCAAGTAGTGTCGGACTGTCCTGGGCCCTTATCAAGTAGTGTCTGACCGTCCTGGGCCCTTATCAAGTAGTGTCTGACCATCCTGGGCCCTTATCAAGTAGTGTCGGACCGTCCTGGGCCCTTATCAAGTAGTGTCTGACCATCCTGGGCCCTTATCAAGTAGTGTCGGACCGTCCTGGGCCCTTATCAAGTAGTGTCTGACCGTCCTGGGCCCTTATCAAGTAGTGTCTGACCGTCCTGGGCCCTTATCAAGTAGTGTCGGACCGTCCTGGGCCCTTATCAAGTAGTGTCTGACCGTCCTGGGCCCTTATCAAGTAGTGTCGGACCGTCCTGGGCCCTTATCAAGTAGTGTCTGACCGTCCTGGGCCCTTATCAAGTAGTGTCGGACCGTCCTGGGCCCTTATCAAGTAGTGTCTGACCGTCCTGGGCCCTTATCAAGTAGTGTCTGACCGTCCTGGGCCCTTATCAAGTAGTGTCTGACCGTCCTGGGCCCTTATCAAGTAGTGTCGGACCGTCCTGGCCCCTTATCAAGTAGTGTCTGACCGTCCTGGGCCCTTATCAAGTAGTGTCTGACCGTCCTGGGCCCTTATCAAGTAGTGTCGGACCGTCCTGGGCCCTTATCAAGTAGTGTCGGACCGTCCTGGAGCAAGATTCACGAAGCAGTTACGCAAGCACTTACGAACCTGTCCATCTTTTCTCAATCTTTGGCGGCTTTGTTTACAATTATTAAACAGTTAATGAGCTCCGAAGCACCAGGAGGCTGTTTATAACAATAACAACAGTTGATTGACAAGTTTTCATGCTTGTAAACTGTTTAATATATGTAACCAAAGCCGTCAAAGATTGAGGAAAGATGTACACGTTCGTAAGTGCTTGCGTAAGTTCTTTCGTGAATCTGGCCCCTGGGCCCTTATCAAGTAGTGTGTCAATCTAGTCGACCTTCGGCGGCAAGAATCAATTCGTCATTTTCCTTTCTTTTCTTGTGTGAGTTTTGGTGTTACTTTCCAAGCACGTTATTGTGACTTATTTTCTTCATAAATTGTTTTCTTTCCGTACAGTCTGTGTTGATCTCGCGCCCCCCGTCCCTAGCCGTGGGAATCCTGAGCCAGCCGGGCATCAAGAGATCCAAGTCACTGGGATCAGCAGACCTTCGCGCCTCCCAGCTCCTCGACTCCTCCACCACACCCACACCCACCATGCCGGACTTGGGACCCTTCTCGCCAGACGTCCACAACTCCATTACGAAAGCCATGACTGGTACGGTGATTTGTATTTTGTTTATTGTTGTCGCCGGAGGCTGCTAGTTTAATGTGCACCCCCATACTCATCCTGTGAGCGGTAGCGCAAAAAGGATTACAGAGAGCGCAGAAGGTCTTTGTCAGACCTCAACGGAGATTATTACATGAATAATTTTGTCTATCCTTCACACCTTATAATTACAATGTCAGCTAGTTACAGAGAATGTTCTATTTCAAGAGCTATATATATTTACAGTAAATCATTATACATTAATGGTAGGTCTTATCGCTACTACATAATTGTTTGAGCAATGGAGATATTACAAAGTCATATGGGAAGCTACTGTTTATTATTATTAGTCTTCACATTTACTTGTTTCTTAATCTCATATGTCATTTATCTACTGGAAGCGAAATATGGATACAATACCATATGAGGATTTCAGGCATTGTATCCTTAGTAATAAGATGGTTTGCCATTTCATGCAACGTGAGTTTAGATTTATCTCTAAATGGCTTGATTTTATTAAAGTCTAAGATATAATGCTCTAGAGTGTGTCCCTGTCTTTGCCCACACACTTTACACTTTACTTCATCTAGGTCCCTATACAAGCCGAAATGCCAGATATACTTGTAACCAAATCTTATTCGAGCCGTGACAACGTCTGTTAGTCTGCTGATTTTGTTACTTGCCCCATACACATGTTTTACTTCACACATTTCATTGTGATAAACAATGGACCTGCTAGTTCCACTTTGCACTGTTCAGCTTTCTTCAAATTCATGCAAAAGTTCTCGTCTAATGACACTTTTAAGGAACCTATTTGATAACTCAAGATTCCGTTTAACACTGTCATTATTTACTGCCACCAATGATGCTAACGCATATCGTGAGTATAATTTCTTATGGTCAGGAGCTGTCTACAGGACGAAGTGCTCGCATGTTTGTATATCATACTGTTATTATACTTTAGATTATATGTAAAAACTGCGTTAATGTATTTACAATGTTAACACGTTAGAAGGAATTTATAAAAAAAAAATAATTAGTGTTAAACAAATGTGTATGATATTAAGCTAGTATATACAAAATTGTCACCTCAGAACCCTGTAAAACAATTGTCCTCTGAATGAATTATCTGTAGGGATCTCACTGTCTACGGACATTATCGTTATCTGGGGATATCACTGTCTATGGATATAATAATTTAAATCATACAGATAACTTAATATAGGAAATAGTTAATGCTGTAAATTTCATTAATGTGACAATGCACTTAAATGCATTGGAAAAGGGTAATGCTGTACTATACTGTATACAAAAAAGAATATTATATACAGTATATGTAAACACCTCACCATCCCACCACAGCGGGATGGTGAGGTTTCATCCAGCACTGTTCTGAAGCTATTTGGATAAAATGTTGTCATATACATTTTAACTATATTATTATAAAATATAATTATAATGCGGATTCTACCTAAGAATCTCTTTCAGATCTCTCAGTAGTCGGACTGAAGGACTGCTCTAAACTGTTCACTATCTACTCTCAATGACCATACTTAGCAACACTGCACTAGTATCATAATTAATCCACATGAGGTATGCAGGTTGAAATACAACGGGATAGTGACCTTGTAGCATTTGCGTCCACACGTGTCAAAAAAAAACATGTGAATGGGGGGCAGGTAACAAATTCATCAGTGTAGCATACAGATTCACTTTCCAGGGCACCCAAACAATGATAAAAGTCAGCTCACATAGTGAGCCTTTGTCTGGACCACTAGTCTCTCAATTTATTCGTGAAAATTGCTTGCTCTACATTGTTGATTGTTATTTGAAGACTCACAAGTGTCTTTCTGTCAATTTTGAATTTTCAAAATCAACATGATAGAGCAAGTAATTTTCACCAATAAACGATTAAACTAGACATGCAGCTACAGCTTTTGTTCCAGCAGATGCCTTTTCATCTTGGAAGATATCTGTATACAGGGTTGGTATTGTCGTAATATTAGTTTTAATTTTCATAAACTAATATAACTCATATTTGTTCAACTGCCCAACATGTCATGCTACTCCGATTTCATATAAATTCGGTGAGGCAACACTTCCACAAAACAATGAAGACTCGGGACCAACTGAGGTCAGAATTATTGCCACACAAACATTACAGATCAGTGTTACATAATAGTTATCGTAGTTGCTCAAGGGAGCTAAAATCTAAATGTTTTTGTTTGTTAATGGAACATGTGTTTTAATGACTGCGCTATTGTACGTTACACACACTAATACAGGACCCACTGTGGTATCTTGTGTTAAATGAAATGAAATGGAATAATGGGAGTTGTTTGTGCAGACCCGAACAGTGTGAGCGCCCGCCAGCTGATGGAGGTGGTGCGTCAAGTGTTCACTAGAGTGGTGGAGGCTTCCCGCCACGCTGAGCCCGCAGCCCGCCTCTGCATAGCTATTATTGAGGCAAGATCAACTTACACGTTCATCACTAATATAACATGTGATACATAATGTGCTCGTCTAACCTTATCCATCTTATCCTAATTCAGTCTAATCTAATGATATATATATATATATATATATATATATATATATATATATATATATATATATATATATATATATATATATATATATATATATATATATATATATATTGGTGTATACAGGCAGCAGGTTTTCATTTATACATGTTTCATTGAATATGACTACATATTCTGTATTGATTAGTTTCTTGTTTAGGGCTTCTATCCATCTGCCTAATGTTCTAGCATCTTGGTTTAATTGGAAGAGGAGTTCTCCAAGGGTCATCTTCGTTCGAGGTGAAGAAAAAGAAATAAATAATTGTAGAACGTATTACACTTATTCTAAAATGTACACAACGTTTCCAACCTACATGGTTCATTCTCAAGTTTTTTTTTATTTTTACATGCAAGCATGCAAGTTAAAGACAATAAATACAATAAAACAACATAACACAGCATTACATCAAGACAAGATCATAACACAAAAGAGAAAACAAGCAATCATATCAATCAAATATTGACAAGAAAACAAAACATAGTAACATATGAAAACAAAACAGACAGAAGCACCGGCCGGAAGGACCGACAAACAAAGCACAACATGAAACAGAACACGAGAAAATCATAACAATACAACATGGGAGGCAGAAAATAACACACAGGGCTTAGTAACAACACAGAACAAATACATGAACAAAAACAAAAACACAGTAGGGCAAGCAAACAGCCAAAGGGGCATACATCACGTCATAAAGCACATAAACAAGAAATCAGTGGACATACTTTTCCGGAAAACAGGCCCGTGGGAACCGCACATTAAACACTTCCCAGAGCATCCACTGCCAAGCGTCTCGGCCATCCACCGGGGAAGCCATAACATCCGGAACATTGGCAACAAACACCCGCAAACATGGGAGCCAGATGGTAGTACTGAGGAGGGGAGTAATTGCCACTCGGCCCCACATGCAGGGAACCTGCTCACCATTAAAAATTCTCCGGGCCATCAACCAGCATCAACTCGGCAATCGCTGACCAGTGACCCGATGGCATCACGGACACCGGCAACACGTCCCCTGGTCTCCCAACGCGCACCCTCACATGACGGCACGCATCTTTCCGTAATGTCACTACCAGGCCACGCCCAGCACCAGGATCCACACCATCCCTGGCAGTGGAAGCCACCACCCACCACTGTGGATAGTCCCCTGGCGGAGGAAAAACCGAAGGCACGTCCGAGACACTGGCTCCAGCACCAGCAGGCACATGGACCTCCGCCACTACTAACTGCGAAGACAGTGACGTATCCGGAACCGCACCGTCAACACCCGAAGACCCACAGTCACTGAATTCCCCAACATTGGCCCAGGCAGAAGACGAACGCCGAGAACGTTTGGGCACCGACTGGACATCGTCAGAGCCTGAAGCGGACCCAGAAACATGGGAACCGACGCCCGACGCAGAACGGCAGCAGCCTCTACCACAAGGGGAACCGGACCACACACAGCAGGAGGCTCCGCAGCCTCTCCAGCACCCAGCACAGCAGGGACCCAAGGTGAGGATGCAGAGCCAGGCTCAGCAGCCGAAGACGAGTGAGCAGACGGCGATGCCTCACAGGGAGCACCAGGAAGGCCCACAGGAGCAGCAGGGCCAGTGACAGGAGCAGGAATATCAACCGACGGCACTGCAACATCCGGAGGGGTAACGTCGGGCGACGCTGGGGGAGCCTCATCAGCTAACGGGACGTTCACCTCTTCACCGGAGTCCTCCTCCAGAGGAAGCGGCGGGAAGTCCTCTTCTCGGAACAAGTTGACAGGAGCAACCGGAGCCGCATCGCACCCGGCAGCCTGATGCCCCATCAGGCCACATCGGAAACAGGTACAGGGTTGCTGGGCATAGTACACCTGGACGTAGTACCCCATAAGCCGGACCGAAGATGGAATATCCGACCACAGGCGCATCCCCAAGGTGCGAATGTTCGTCCGCCTACCTGCATACCTCCCTGAGGAGAGCGTGTTCACCCGCACACTGACGACCGCTCCAAACCTCTGAAAGTTATGTTGGAGGAGGTCCTGAGAAACTCCAGGGGCGCCCCATGCCCACTGACATAAGTCAGGGCACCACTATGGTCCGAGATGGACACAGAGCCGGCACCACCTAGCAACGGCAACGAACGCCCCTCGTAACGACGGAGGAAGTTACGGTACTCCTCCTCCATTACGAACTTGATAACAACCCGATGGGCAGTTACAAGCTCAACACCGTAGATGGCCATCACAGGGATACGGAGCATGTCGCACATAACCATTTCTATGTCCGCATATCCAGCAGGACTAGTGAACTTCAGGCCCACGGAGCTTACCCGCACAATAGGAGGAAGATGGCCTCCCATGGCAAGCTCGCCACGTCAACACACAGCCAGGCAGCAACAGCAGGGGGGGCAGAGACGCCCACACCCCCTGGCGATGAAAACGGCAAACACTTCAAACCACCAGAGGCCAGGCGACACGTCTGTACCTCACAGCAGCTCCAGGTGGACTCATGGTTCATTCTCAAGTGATAAGAAAATATAAGGCGTGTTTGATTTATACCCTTAAGGGGTCAGGTGAGGACAAATAGATCTATTCAAATGGGTCAAGAATAAAGGAAAAGGTAAGGCGTAAAAGAAAAAAAGGCGAAAATAGGGGATGAAGCACATACAAAGATTAATCAGATGTAGTGGGCGTAGCAGGTTCAGCAGTGTCTTCTATGTTGGCATCTTCATGTTCCGGTCTTGTTCTTACTTTCTTGGTGGGTAGAGTGAATAGTTCCGTAATTTGGGTATTTATGGTAGGTTGCTCTATTTTTATGTGCATTGCTTCAAGAATTTCTAATCTTCGTACATCCTGGGTTTTGTCTATTATACAAGTGTTTTTATTCAACTCTTGTCAGGGTGATATCATGGGCTTGTCTCATGTGAATTTTAGGGGCACCTGATTGAAGATGACAAGTCAAACGCCTCGTCAGCTTGGTCTACATCATACCTATGTACTTAGATTTAAGGCTACATCCTTCGTTGGGACAGGTGTACACACACACATATATATATATATATATATATATATATATATATATATATATATATATATATATATATATATATATATATATATATATATATATATATATATATATATATATATATATATATATATACCACATTTGGCTGCTGTAAAGGGTTGTCCGTCGGCTTCAGGCTGTTTTTAATAAAGAGGTCGGTGGTCTTCTTTGTTTTATAGAATATGACAAGGTCTATGTTTTGGTTAGGCGTTATGCTTTTACTCCTTTACGGATTATTTTTTTCATTATTCGTTCTTCTTTTTTATGTTCACTGTGCATAGTTGATTTGTAATATAATTTTATTGGAGGTGTTGTAGTTTCTGTTCTTGGTTCAGGATTGTGCCATCGGTCCAGGTGTTGTCTTATTGTAGTGTTTATTTCCGTATTGCTATATCCATTGTTCACCAACACCTGAGTTATTCTTTCAAACTCCCTACTCAGGTTGCTCTATTCAGAGCAGTGGGTAAGAGCTTGACGAATATAAGCGTTGAGAACACTGGCTTTGTATCTTTGGGGCACTCACTCCTACCGTTTAGGCATAATCCTATGTTTGTAGGCTTAGTATATACATTGGTGCTTAGAGGGGGCTCCTGTTTATGTTATTAGTACATCCAGGAATGGCAGACTGTTATTTGTTCACTATTTTCATGGGTTAAACGAAGTACTGACTCTCTCTCTCTCTCTAGATGTTTTTTTAGATCAATTAGTTCATCTGGGTCTTTTACTATGACGAATATGTCATCGACATAATGGCAGTATACCATTGGCTTTTGCCTACTACTGAAGACTATCTTCGATAGTTCAAATGTAAAAATTATCGAATAACACTCCTAAGTGGGAACCCATTGCTACTCCGTTTATTTGTAGATACATGTTACCTTGCGGACTAATGAAAGGAGTGTACATGCCTTTGTACATGCCTCGAGAAGGCTCTTCAAGTGTGGCTCGGGTATGTCTAATTTGGGGGTGCTCTCGTCTCTGTATACTCTGTCCAGTATCATTTCTATGGTGGTGTCGACTGGGGCGTTGGTAAATAAAGATTCAACGTCCAGTGAAGCAATAATTCCATCGGGCTGTGTAGTTTTGATTTATAGTTTGATTTAGATTTTTAGTTATTTATGGATTTGTACCATAGTTTTATGGTATAAATCTAACACGCCTTGTATTTTCTTATCACTTAACAATGAATCATGTAAGTTCGAAACGTTGTGTAAATTTTACAATAAGTTTAATACATTCTACAGTTATTTATTTCTTTTTCTTCACCTCGAACGAAGATGACCTTTGTTGATGTCCTCTTCTAATTAAACCAAGATGCTAGAACACTAGTCAGAGGGATATTAGCCCTAAACAAGAAAATAATCAATACAGAATATTTAGTCATATTCAATGAAATACAGTATATATATAGTGTATATATATATATATATATATATATATATATATATATATATATATATATATATATATATATATATACATATATATATATATATATATATATACTATGCGAACAAGTCTGAATGGTCCCCAGTTATATATACTGTATACTATATATACTATATATATTGTATACTGTTTTAACAGTTTAAGGACGAGCTGTGCCTAACGTCTGTGTATAATTTGACCATAGCCTAATGTAAAGATCACTTGAAAATATATCTCACATCACCAAGCTTGGTGATTGGTTAACACAGTACAAATGTGTATTTAAATGCATACAAATTTCATATTTTAGAGAGAAAATACTGAGGTTGTACAATATTCTGAGTCACATAAACGAATTTAATGGGATTTCATTGTGCATTATATTTTTAGAGTTACCTTAGTATTATTTATTAATTAAAACACACGTCTATGTATTAGCTTTAGTGTAGTTGGCTCATCGCTTTAAATCAGAATTATCTTAAAGCTTAATATGTTTAATCTGAAAATTGACTATCGCAGAAGGAGAAAAATGAGACATTCCTGGAGACTCTTCTCAACACCTGCCAGGAGTACTTCCAGGAGCGCGACCGCCTCCTGAGGAACAACCCGCCAGCTCCCTACCCTGGCTTCGTCCCCGCCCACCCTCGCTGGATCGCCTATATGACCTTCCTTAACGAAATGTACACACAGGTACGGAGTTTATGGGGCTCAGTCACTCGCATCTGGCCTTCAGTTATAAAATAGCATTCGTGTAATACTCTGTGACATGCAGACGTAGGCCAGAATGTGAAAAAGCCTCGCTTTAACACTGCGTTTGTAGAAACGGCACATAACTTACCTATGTAATGTAACCCAACCCATACACACGTGAAATGAAATGAAAGTGCCCACGTTCCGGTGCGTCCTGGATCCGCTCATCATGTCGTGAAGGTCCAGAATGGACCGAGACTTTGGCACTTTCATTTTATATATTTGTGGGGTTCGGAAATTTGTTTCAGCAACGTTATTGTGTCTTAGTCTGTTTACATATTCATACTTGGTACAGCTGAAGCGCCGGCACGTACAGCTGATGACGAAGCGTATGAGGAACAGCGAGACGGCGCCCGGGCTGCTGCTGCTCACCCTGCTGGCCCAGTGCTGCCACGTCTGCCTTAAAGAGAACTCTGTCAACAGTCTTGCAGAGGTATTAGCTTTCGGACATTTAATATCTAGGGTTTTCTGAGACTGTGTTATGTTTGTGAGCTATGATGTCTGATTCTTGTCGGACCGTGAGCAGTGATGTCTGAGCTTTCCTGTCAGGTTTGATGTTTGATTCTTCCCTGACTGAGCCCTGATGTCTGATTCTCCCCTGACTGTGAGCTCTGATGTATGATTCTCCCTTGACTGTGAGCTCTGATGTCTGATTCTCCCTTGACTGTGATCTCAGATGTCTGATTCTCCCTTGATTGTGAGCTCTGATGTATGATTCTTGTCGGAATGTAAGCTGTAATGTCTGATTCTTCCCCGATTACCTATAATTATAGCTATGGGATGAAGGGCATAATAAGGTGTCATTTGAGCACATGTCTTCACAACCACAGACTGTGCACGCATTGTGTCCTCAGTTTAGTGTCTTGGAATAATTAAATAGATATGGCACAGGTTGCTGCCGAGAAAATTCACGAATATAAATATTAAAACAACAACAACGTGAGGACATTGGCTTAGCAACAGGACTCTTGGTCTGGTTGCAAAGTCTATCGACTTTCTGCTACATTCACACCAGTTTACCTTGTATTTAACCCTCAAGAATACTTTAACCCCCTTACTGAATTAAGAATTAAAGTTAACCTCGAGTGTGTGTGTGTATACAGTACACATTGTATGAGTATAGAGGCTATTCAGTACACACTCAAATACAAAGGAATGCAGGAGTGCATTCCTGCATTCACTAGACAAACTTTTCAAACATATCCACATGGTATTTTCTTTTATATTTTTTCACCAAAACCCCTAATAATATTTTCTTATTTTAATTTAGTCAATAAATGAGTAAATAACACACGGAAGCACATCATGCCTTGATGATAATAATAATAATTGCCTGTGTCGTGGTCCCACTAGGTTAACTACTTGTGGGATCATATTATGTCAGCACTGTGGAGAAATGTCCGACAGACCACTGGATCATTATCTAACACAGTGCACAGTTACAAACCCATTAAGATTTCAACTTAGATTCAACAGAGCAGAAGTTGTTAAACACGTGGGACAGAATCTTACTTAAGCGACCATACGAGTCATAAATACTCATACTCCGCCCAAGTAAAACAGAAACAAGCAACACTTAGTGGGCCAGCCAGAGCCCCGCGCAGGAATATCCCTAAAAAAAAAAAAAAGCGTATGGAGATTTTCCCTTTGACTTGCAACTTTTTTTTTTAATATTTGTTTAATTTTTCAATATTTTAACTTATTTGCAAAAATAAGCACCTAAAATATTTATTTATCATTATTTTTGGAAATGTGCATATGGGAGTAAATATCTCACAGGAATCAATCATTCTAAAGTTTAATGTGTCATAAAATGTTCATAAAATGTACCAAATATTGTAATATAATTTGTCTGCTAAATTTCGTGTTGATTTATTTATTCTTTTGTAGAGTTGATTGTAATTTAAATGAATATATATTACACTAATAATGACGTTAACTTGACAGACTGAGTGCCTTTTCTTCGTATTAACTGGTGTTGGGAAGGACATCGAAGTTGAGCTACCACACCACATGGCTCGGGTGATGAGTGCCGCCCGCGATGCCTTCTTCACCACCGTCAGGGTGCCGGCCGTCCGCAAGACTCTTCTGCAACTAATTGAGATGCATGCTGCAAGATGGCAGCTCCCAGCACCTGCAGTCATGTATTACTATCCGGGCTCGGGCAGCAAATAGAAGAGTGTGTGTGCAACTTGTAGGTTCCAGATAATTAAAGTACCCTTAGTCTGGTGCCAAATTGCTGGCTGTAAAATTCGCATTGCCAAATCAGTCATGGGAAATATTTGTGTTTTAAAGTCAGCTGTTACTAAGACTGGCGATGAAAGGTAGTGTGTATTCCAGTAACTCGGTAAGGCTCCTGTTACACCAGCGGTGTTGTGCCTAACAGCCTAGTCCTAGTCATGCCATCTTATAATTCTTTAAGAAATTAAGCAGCCGCCTTCATTTGTTTATAATTTTATAGGTTTGCATGGAACGAAATATTTTATATGGTACAGGTTCAAATGTAAGTTGAATATTTTCAACTTTTTGCTGCTCTGTAATGAATATTCAGATTATTTAACTCTTCGAAATTGACCAGCCACAAATGACAAGCAAATACTTTCCATAAGACTCGGTTGCTGATAAACAATTTTGTTTTCATGCTGTAGATGCAGCTGGCAATAGGACAAGGTCCAATCCTTGCTAACCAAATTCGTTTGCAAAACTACTGGGATCCAGGAATTTATACATCATGGGCTATAACAGGGTAAAATGTACCTTCAGTGCCATGTTACACTAGTTACACTGTTATGGAAGGTTTCCTTAGTGTCTTCTTGTTTTACAATTTGTGATTGTTTTGTTGGAAAGACTCCTAAAGAGGGAAACCTCATTCATGCTTAGCAGTACAGTATGAGAGGTCTGTTAAAGAGACGCCTGCTCTTCGTAACTAATCCCTAAGTTCCTGTTTGCACTAGAAGGAGGGATGTCTCAGCCTGGCTTCTCCATCGATCGACCGACATAATAACGAATCTCGATATTTCGAGTGATTACCCCTACATGCCCTGGCCTGGGTAATCATCCTTATATAATGTTCTGGCCAGCCAAAAAATGTTTTTATCATTGGGAGTAGGCTGTCTACCTAGCCTAGCTGATCAGTGACTGGAGGCTTTGAAATTAATTTGTCACTGGATCTGTAAAGTGATGTAGGTTATGGCCACAGAAGTTTTACTTCTGGTACTCTGCTTAACAAGAATGTGTGCTCTTAACTGTGGTTGAGAAATATGTTTCAACCATTATTGTGGTACACCTTTGTGATAAAGGTGTATGTAGACAGCGTTCTAGGTGTAAATGTCTTGTGTACATGTGGTCATTAACTTGTCACTTTCGCCTTGTCTTATATATAATTAGAACTACATTTCAGGAGCGCTTCACCGGCTGTGCCTATGACATGTTTCCCTTCCACCCAGCTAAGTCTGAGACAAGCTGATAGTCTTCCAGAAAGGTCCAACTACACATTACTGTCCCTATACATTATTAGCCTATGACCTTTCCAATTTTCTTGACACAAATTTATTCCTTGGGAACCTATCTAAGACCAGGAATGACTTACCCTCCACAGCAAAAAAAAAAAAAAAAAAAAAAAAAAATATATCAGGTCTCTTCGAACTGTTTTTTTTTTAAGACATGAAAAATATTTGATCAATAATCTATGTTTTTCTATTTGAGATAGTTTTGATGAATACTTTCTCATATTCACTAATCTGCTAAAGACCTGATTTTGTAAATCTTCAATCTGTCAAGACCTTGCTCAGCTGCATTTGGTTCCTTTGGGGAATAATATACTCGATCTTATATTTTATAAATGTTTCAATTGTGATGAATGGTAGATTTTTGTAGGATATTTTTGTGCTCCATAAACTTTTGGAAATAAAGATAAGGAATGAATTAGAAACTGAAGTGCCTTATAGAATGTAACAACAATCAAATATTTATCACGATTGGCATTTTTGCTCTTATGTAAATCTGAAATTATGGCTAAACTTTTTACTGTTCATGTTGTACTACACTGAACCATATTCTGTCTTAATGATAACAATTATCACTCGCCTAAAATGTGAAGTTTATTTATATTTTCATCTGTATCATTGTAAATGTCACTATGAGAACTGAAGAAATATTTGTCTACATGAAAGAATATGGACCTAGATCTAAATTTTGATAACATTCTGTGTGTTTCAGTTATATTTTGGGCTTAACATCAAAATATACCGCTTAATGTTATAATTAAATGTAGTAATCAGTTGGGCACTTTTTCGTATGTCAAATTGAGTATTTCCTTGAAAATATATCATACACACATTTAAATTCTGGTTAAAGTGTGAATATTCAGTTGCAGTCATACCTTGACAGTTGCAGTCATACCTTGACAAACTGTCTATAAGAAAATTGAGAGATGGTACAGAGCTTCTCATCGTATGGTGTCGCGTGACTGCATACTGTCCATGACCTAAGTTTGGAAATACTAGTATGATATTAATAGTCATCCATTGCTGACCCTTGATGCAATATATTCAGAAAAATACAAAATATTATTGCGTTAATAGCTAAACCTTTAAAATATATGTCATTGTTTTTAATATATTATATATTAGTGCTAACACACACACACACACAAATTAATATATATATATATATATATATATATATATATATATATATATATATATATATATATATATATATATATATATATATATATGCAATTGACGATCACAAAACACTGATCATTTTATGCGGAAAATCCACAGAGAAATATGAAATGAGGTGAGCGTTTCGGCTTGTTAAAGCCTTTGTCAACACCAGACTGACTCAAGTCAGTCAGTCTGGTGTTGAAAAAGGCTTTAACAAGCCGAAACGTTCACCTCATTTCATATTTCTCTGTGGATTTTCCGCATATATATATATATATATATATATATATATATATATATACTGTAAATACAGATTTACATTACCAAATAGTATGAAGAGTGGTGGTCGCAAGTTTGACTGGTACGCTGTACAGTTTTGTTTTGTAACATGGATGCTTTAAAATAATCTAGTCTATTACTACTTCATCTTTGTGCTTCTCCCATGCAGAATTGTGTAAGTGTATATATTTATTTTGACGTTTGTAAAGGAGATTGTTAAACTTGTTAATATTCAGGGAATACGATCTGAGTGTATCTGTACTGTAATGTGACGATCTTCCTGGGGAAGAAGTCTTTTTTAACAAGGTTGAGACACTGAAGACATCGCCATATTATTCTAAACTTGCTGCTGTTGGCTAAATAGTAACCACCCAAGATACTTTAAGTGTGTAATAACCACCTTTCACCATTAATAATAAAAGGGAATAAGGGTCACTCACACTACATAACAAAAGCCGGTACATTCACCCTTTGATGAAGAATATTGTTTTACATTTAACCTTCATAATGTATATATATATAAATATATATATATATATATATATATATATATATATATATATATATATATATATATATATATATATATATATATATATATAACTTTTTAGACACTCAACCCACCAGGGGACTCGAACACTGGCCAACAAGGTGGCAGTTGCATGCTGTATCCACTACACTATACTTCAAAGCATATATATATATATATATATATATATATATATATATATATATATATATATATATATATATATATATATATCCAATATTACCCTTATTTAAACGAATATGTAATAATTAAGTACTCATCCAATATAAGATTACAAAAAGTATAAAGCCATATAAATGCACTATGTACCTTATATTATGCTCTATATAACCTACAGTATATATAGCAATACTGTACACAGTATCTCTGGTACGTACTGCCTCCGCCCCATTTATAGACAAAAACGGGAACTAGAGGTAAATAATAACATACAATGACCAAACGATAATTCAGATGAGGTAATAGCAAGTTTTAAATAATAAGGTTGAATGTCCCATTAGTGTTAGTGAGATGGCTGCGTCGTGATGTAACCGACCTCTACCATGTTTTATGCATACACAAAAATAAACGAATTCACCAAGCCAATGTTGCTGTGGATGTAAAATTTATAAAGCATGGAAGAGCTGTAACTTGTTTGATCCATTTTGGCCTTCCGTATATATATTTTCATTTTGATCTTCCATATATTCTGTTCTAATTTGGCCTTTTGCGGATTCTGTTCCTATTAAATATCCGACGCAGCGTCTTCATTCTCGAGTTAAGTGAAATATTATTATTATTATTATTAATCATTGAAAGAATGTCTTACATATATATTATTACGTCAATGTCATTACATTAAAATAGCTTTTTTTTCTCTAAATGTTTGCAGAGTTTTTGGTACATGTATACCTTTTGGTACATGTATACCTTTTGGTACATGTATACCTTTTGGTACATGTATACCTTTTGGTACATGTATACCTTTTGGTACATGTATACCTTTTGATACATGTACATGTATACATATTTTCATGTTCTGTTCATGGTGTATCAAGATTTAATATTTACTTACATTGATTTTATTTTTCCAACAGCAATTTTATGTAAGGAGTTCTGAAATTGTATTGTTCTTTATTTTGTACAGATGTGTGCTAATGATAGAACAAATTTCATGTCAACTTTATTAAATAAAAGTTAACTGAATTAACCATTTTCTTCTTCAACATTCTCCTGACCATAGACGCAACCCTTAGCCATAGAAATGGAAACAGTAACTCTACATACAATTTAAAGTGTCAAAGCTGCTATATCTGATTATGAAAATTATGTGGTTAAGGCCTATTGACAATACCTTATTGACCACCTAGCAAAAAAAACTTAAGTTCGTAAAATTACACAAAAGCTGTCCAAACATCATACAATTTCGTGAATATATTAGAAATTAAACATATGTTCTTAGTATAATACTGTATTAGTAATGATGTAGAACGTGAATAAACATAATTATAATAGAGAAACATCATGAAAATAGAAGGCAGGTGACGCCAGAGGAAGTTAAAGATCTGAGTGCCTCGTCAACTGCCGAGGCACTCTTTAACTTCTACTGAAGCCTGCATATTGATGCAGTCACGTTAGTGTGATTACTCTGTGTATTGAAAGAGGAGCGTCAGGAGTAGAATATTCCTGGATGATCGCGAGAAACAATGGGCTGAGTTTCTTTCACCCTATGCCCCTGTTACCTAGCAGTAAAATAGGTACCTGGGTGTTAGTCAGCTGTCACGGGCTGCTCCCTGGGGGTGGAGGCCTGGTCGAGGACCGGGCCGCGGGGACACTAAAAAGCCCCGAAATCATCTCAAGATAACCTCAAGATAGCCAGAGTGCACGGGCGGGGGGGGGGGGGGGGGGGGGATTCTGTGAAAATCCCTGTTCCGGCTTCAGTAGAAGCCTCATAAAATCCTTGTGGGTTCACTAGAACTCCAGGTTGTAATCCTTATTACCATGTCGTGGTCTAGGGGCTAGAAGCGTGTGCGTGGGAACATCCACCATATATGTTCGAACCCTCATTACTGCTCCTACGGATTTTCTCATCTAGCATGATGTTACCATGTGTGGGCTCTACCACATGCTGTATAAGATAGGGAGTCCTGTACTAGGTCTAGACATTTTTCACCTTCAACAACACCAGGTGTCTTGTTACTAACGCTTCGATTAATAAATCCCAGTGTCCTATTTGCCTTATTACGAACATTCATGCATTGATCCTTTGGTTTTAAATTCGTACTTAACATAACTCCCAGATCCCTTTCGCAATCCGACTTCGCAATCTCAACACCATCCAGCTAGTATCTTGTAACTCTATCATCATTACCTAGCCTGAGAACTTTACATTTATCAGCATTAAACTGCATCTGCCAATCTTTTGACCATTTCAAACCTCTATTTAGATCAACCTGAAGTGATAGTGAGTCTTCTTCCGTGTAAATTTCCCTACCGATTTTTGTATCATCGGCAAATTTGCAAATGTTGCTACTCAAACCTGAATCTAAATCATTTATATATATTATAAACAACAGAGGTCTCAGGACAGAGCCTTGAGGCACTCTACTTACAACATTATCCCACTCTGACTTAACCCCATTTATATTAACTGTTTCCTTAGGAATAGCCATGCCCTAATCCAACTTAATATAGCACCCCCAATACCATGAGCCTCTATCTTTTCAATGTCTTTCATGTGGCACTGTATCAAAAGCTTTGCTAAAGTCAAGGTACACATCACAATCCTTACCACTGTCAACTGCCTCAACTATGCTGGAATAAAAAGATAGCAAATTTGTTAAACATGAACGGCCATTTGTAAAACCATGTTGCGACTCATTCTATCCAAATAGTTTCTGTATGTGGCTCAGTTTTGATTCCCTCTTTGAGACTACATTTAAAATTTTCCCTAACATATATGGCTACTCCCCCTCCTCGTCTAATATATCTGTCTGTGTGAAATAGTTTAAATCCATTTATCTGATATTCAGCTAATAGTTCTCTATTTTCTACATTCATCCACGTTTCGGTAAGTGCAATAATATAAAAAAAAATTCTGTGCAGACAAGAGCATTTAAATCGTTTATTTTGTTTCTTAGACTTCTACTGTTAGTGTAATATACCCTAAGTGTATTGGTATTTTAAGGCCCTTCTCTTTCCCTGATCATTTTGCCAATTTGTTTCTCCCACAAACACATACTTTTATTACCTCCTTCCTTCTTATCAATTCCCATACCACTATCTACTAACAGTTTAAACCCAAACAAATGCCTCGAACTACAGGTTCCAACGAATTCCCAACAACAACAACCCCAGCCCTCGATAGATGCACCCCATCCCGAGCATACATTTCACTTCTTCCATAGAAGTGTTCCCAGTTGTCTATGAAAGATATTGCATTTGATTTGCAATATCTTTCCAGCCGGCAATTACCACCAAGTGCCCTCGACAACCATTCATTTCCAATTCCCTTTCTTGGAGGAAAGCCACATATCATATATTTGTGACTCATGGAGAAGAATTTGTGAGGAGCTTTGTGAGTGAAGTGCGAGGAAAGTGTGGGAGGGCGTCGATTTGTTGTTGTTACAGATTTAGCTACTCAGAACGAAGTGTCCATGTAGCACGGGCTATGGTGAGCCCGTAATGGAGGGCATTGAGTGACGTATCTCTTAAATAGTGGCAACGAGTACGGGGCGACCTCAAGCCAGTTGGGTGGTCGTGCCCTGAGGAACCACGGTGGTGAGTCCGACAAGAGGATTGTATAGGCAGGTGTACCTGATTGGCACCTGTGCTGTGACCCTTCTCATGCAAGTCAAGATTAAGAGGAGCCGAGTAGTGGCAGTCAAAAAGAGAGTTGTGTGGACGATAAGCTCCTTTGGACAATAAGGAGCAGGGCGATGCTCCATTAAGTGTCTGTGAGTTAAACGTGTATGGCTAATATAACCTCGCAGGAACCGTTTCCCACCGCCGTTTTCGGTAGTAGGAGGAAGGCCATGGGGACGGGCTATCCCTAAGAGCACGCAGTTTGTTAACTGTTGTAATAATGTAGAGTTTATACTATTTTTCTTGTATACAGTTGCCCCTGTATACGATACATGAGTGGTGACAGTTGTCTCTGTATACGATACATGAGTCGGTTAAGGACAATGCGTTCAAGCATTTGACAAAAATGGGGATAGGAACAATGACACTCATTGTCCAAGCATTAACATTTCACTTACACTCATTTTGTATAACACTAAAAATGGATTACCTGGTACGTGTGAGACTAATCTCAGTAAGCTGTATGTAATACCGTCCTCTCCAGGAGCAGTTGATTTACCCATCTTTAAAACATGATCTAATTCCCATTCAGTTACATCATTAAAATTCGACAAGTCAACATCTGTACAGACAAGATTGATGGTTCGTTGTCTGTTGGGGCGTGTGTCATTAAGTTTGTTTCATATGTTAATTGGGAGCGAGTTGAAACTTGATGTGGGTGCCCATTGATCAAGGAGAATGTTTAGTTGTTCTAGTGGGCTGCGGTGTAATGGTTTGGTTGGGCTGTATCTACAGATTTTTAGTATCTTTTCCCTGATTTCAACAAGTGACGTTTGCTCATTTATACTTTGTAGGAATTCTTCGCAATGCTTCTTTCGTATTACATTACTCATGTTTGCGTAACATGAGTAATGTTACTCATGTTACATCTCATCTCATCTCATACATCTCTGTCGCAAACATCTCTGCAACAGAGATGTATGGATACAGGTGCTGGATCTTATTCGAATGATAAATGTAGGATTGTTATTATTATATAGGGACTGTAACTCATTAGAGTGATAGATGTAGGGATACAGCAACTATAACACATCATAGAGAACTGTTAAGGCACAATGATATAATTTACCGTATGGAAACAAAGATATAATGATGTCGCAGAGCTGCCCGTGGGGACACTAGGCTTCCTATGGCAGTGTGTGACAGGTGGTGGTCGGGGGCGGTCGCCCTGCCCCGTGCTCTCGCTCGGTCTCGTACCACATCAATGTATGTTGTGATAATTCTTTAGTTGCAAGCATATTAGTGTCTAAAATCCTAATAATAGCAGTTTTCCATTATTTATGCAGCTCTGTTAGAAGTGATTACGGGTTGGTGATGGTAATCTTCATATTAGTGAAAAGACGTCCGGGAATCTACTGGGGACATCATTTATATTAGGCCCGTAAAGGGTTTCTCAATCTTTCTAAACCAGTTCGGTTGCTAAAAGCTTTGAGTTTTATCTTATTGTGACTAACTCCTATAAGTGCTTAAGTTAGCCTTCTTAACAAACATTTGTTAGATGAATGTAAATTAAGCCATTGTAACTTTAAAATCTGGCGAGTTGAAGTGGTGCGGCTTCCGTACGTGTGGAGGGACGTCAGAACACCTTTAGTGTGGCTTCACTTGCTGGAGCTGTGGGTTCGGTTATACGCGTCTGGTATTGGGATCCAAGGTAACAAAGGATGCATACACCAAGAAGCGTACCCGTTTTTGTGCATGCACACTTGAGATCTTACTTTACACTTCAATTCTGGTATTAACAACAGTACTGCAATTAGCGTACTTCAGTTGCAACTTGATCAAAAATTTGAGGCATGAATTTTGTGCACTAATGGATGGAAATATTGTGAACTGTCAAACTTTATTAAATTGATCAGATTGAAATTGATACGAGCTGTCGTTACTACGTGCAAGTTTATACGTATTCATCCCAGAGACCAGAATGTGCCTACCTATTAATGATGACAGTGTGTCGTATCTTCCGGAGACTCCATGCTCTGCATACTCCATGTCAATTTAGGCTTCTTGAGGATCCTTAGTCAAGTGAGTGGAGAGAATGGATCCGCACATGACGAGGGAGGATGCAGCTGTGTGTCTGGCAGACGGTCCTCACCGCCGCCTCTACCAAAGTCTCACTCCGCCTCAGCCACAGCCTGTCAAAAAGAAAAAGTTGGTCAACTTTAAACTCTCCAGAAAGGGACGTCTGGGCAGCGATAGTAAGGACGACGACAGAGGATCAAGCACACGAGAAAGGAGAGGAACCTTCAGGAGTTCTGATAAAAGGAGAGGCACCCTTAAGAACATTGATGAAAGGAGAGAAGCTTTTGCAAGCTTCAGCGACAGTACAGATATCAGATTTTTCGATGCAAGAGATATCATAAGCTTCGATGAGATGAGAGAAGACGTCAGAAACTTCAACGAAAGAGGTGTGCAAAACAACAACGAAAAAAAAGAAGACATTCGAAATTTAAATGGAAGAAGAAACTATATCGAACACTACAGTGAACAAAGAGGAAACACTAGAAACGACAATGATAGAAGGCAAGAATTTAATAACGACAATGAATTCAAAGTTCTTGAAAGCATGAGCAGAAGAAGAGAAGACATCAGAAACGACAACCGAAGACAAGAAGGGATCCGAAGTCTCGACGATCCAGGAAACTTCAGAAACGCTAGACAAAAGAGAGAAGCTTTCAAAAACATCAAAGAAAGAAGAGACGACTTAAAAAACATCCGAAAAGGAAGAGAAAACTTGAAAAGCGCCAAAGAAAAAAGTGAAACTGCCGTAAATATGAACGATAAAAGTGAAAGTGCCTCAAATATACACGAAACAAGTGAAGATAGCAGAAATGTTAACAAAATTAAAACAGTTAGGAGCGTGTCTTCTACCTCCCCGGATACCAAGAGCTATAATGCACCCAACAACTTGCTGAAGCCGGAGTTCCCCGGCTCAATATTAAACCACAGGGAGAGGTCAGCGAGCAGCAACTCCAGGGCGACCTCTGAGCACATTCCTTTGACAACGATGCGCAGAAAATATACTTCCTCTTGGGAGAAGCTACGGATGGTAGCTGGCAGTAATGGTAAGGGCGAACGACTAAACAGTGTCGTGGAAATAGTGACACTAAAGAAGAGGAAAGGGGCATTAGCGCCCACAATATGGACCCCGGCAATACCGCGCTCAGTGCCCAGTCCCAGACCAGCCAACTTTCAGAACCACGTAAGCCCACTAACTCTTTAACCATTCATTAATTTAAAGTTAAACAAATATTCAGCTAAACGACGCACAGCCTCAAACAACATTCTTATAAGTTAGCATGAAACAATCACTTAGCTTCGAAATTAGTTAAAACTTGATAGCTTTGACCGTAAAACCTTAGGCTATTATTTAACCTAGGTTTGCCTTCAACCAATAATAAATATAGACAAATTAAAGATTTTCACGAGTGCAAAAATATTCAGTTTATTTTTTGTATTTTGTATATATTGTCTTTATCTGTATTGTACTCAGCTACGTGCACTGCCCTCAGGAGGAACCAGGCAAACGCAGCTATGTCATCGCCTTCATATCGAAGGCAACTCAGAGTAGGCTGCGGATACTCAGGCGACAGTTCACTCTACCGTTCAAGCAGCCACAGCGGCATCACGAGTGGGAAGCCAGAGGCAAGATGTATGTAAATTGGCTCAAGGGAGTCGTCTCTAACCCGCACCTTCAGGATGGACTCATCATGAAAGGACTAGAGATTGGCGGTAAGTTATTAACGACTTAACTATTCATAATTGTAGTTACAATATATGAAGCAGGAACAAAGTGCGCAATTTAATTGTTAGAATTATGCCACTTTTCTCTGGCGTGGAAAATTAAATCGATGGTCTTGACCAACAAGACTTGTGCCTTTAAACAACAACAACACCGCCATGTACAAGCGAGGTCCTGCGCAATCTAAGGACTCACAAGACATCCTGGCAAGGCGACCAGTCCTCAGTATTCAAATTCAAATTTAAATGTTTATTCAGTACATACATAGAAAAAGAGTTACAAACATAATGTTGGATTTACAGATAGAACTAGTACATAAAATACCTAAAGCCACTAATACGCACAGCGTTTCGGGCAAGGATATACAGCATACAGCCGCATATTGAAAGTACAATACTCCTTATACTATCCAGAACTGTTGTTTGTCGCATATTCAGCTAAATAAACATCACTTTTCCAATGCAACTTCATAACATATTTTTGAAGACAAGAAATCTTAGATTTCTATCAGGAACTAAATCTATTTTTTTCGAAATAACAGGAAAGCTTATTTTATATTTTTAGTAGCAGGGAAAGTGTGAATATAGCTGCATCAGCTAACTAGATCAAATCAATGAATGCAAATCGTGCTTGTTGATTTGAGATTAAATTAGTGTTCAGATGCATACATTAATAAGCTCGAACTTTTCGAACTGTTCAGTGCTTTTCTGCGAAGGATCAGCGTTAAGACACAGTTCACTCTGTAAAATCAGACTTTCCCATTGACCAAGGAACCTGCCCTCTCATCGTATTTCTATCGACGTATAAATATCGACGCATCGACGTATAAATACGTCGTATTTCTCTACGGAATGGACCGATCCGTCCAAAATGCGATGTCTTAGTAAAACTTTAGTCGCCTTAATATTGCCTCGGCCTTGAAAGGGTTTTGTGAGATGTTTGAGTTTGTACGTTTCCGTTAGGCACAACAGTTATATTTTTTACAGGTGGCAACTTGAAAGGTCCGACTGGAGCATTTGGGACACTACACAACAGCATGCTAGCATGAGTGCTATTCCTCACAGCCTAATACAACAACAGTCAACACTCCTTATGAATTAAGCACAACTCTACTGAAGCTCAATGTTCTTGCTTCAGAATTAATTTGTAAAATTTAAACAACAGAATATAAGTAAAATTATTAAACTTCTCTGTCGTAATTAAATAGAAAGAGCATTAAGGTGAGTAAGGCTTCCGTCAATTGTACAGAGGGGCTTCAACATGGCTTCTCTCGCCACCTCACCTCCTGGTATATATATTAAGGGTCTCTGTAATAATTCTCTCACCATTTCGTCCGGGAGACATCTCCCGTCACGCAGGGTGCAGTCGCGCCTCCACAGATCTCCAGTATTAGCTCTTGATACTGGTAATGGCTCAAAAAGGGCCACCACTTACGGGCTATTCATGCCCGTGCCACCTTTTGGGTGACTTAATCTTTATCAATCGATAATTCGGCCTTGGGGGGGGGGGTCTCGTTATAAGCCTAACGTGTACTTCATGCATGGCTGCCTGCCCTCCAACACAATGAATTATTATTATTACTATTATACACTGTATATCAAGCCTGGCAGTAAAGAGTTAACATGATAGTATTAACAATTATTACATTAACAACATAGAATTATTAAAAAGAGATGCTACATAATACCAAAACTTCCTTGAGGTGACGTTAGCGGCAAGTTGGCTGCCTGTCACCTGAAGCAAGTGACAGGCTTCAGTCATCTGATGTTGTGACGCAACTGGCACGCTGCTCGTCACCTAATGTGACGCAACTGGCACGCTGCTCGTCACCTAATGTGACGCAACTGGCACGCTGCTCGTCACCTAATGTGACGCAACTGGCACGCTGCTCGTCACCTAATGTGACGCAGAGCGTGACGCAAGCAGCAGGCAGCCCATCACCTACTGTTAAGTGTCTTAACATAAGCTTTCTACACAACTGCTGACAATGTCGCTCCCTCCTTCACCCTGACTTATATGGACAATAACCTTAAACCACTGTCAGTAATTTCAAGATTTATGTCAGAAACAGAAAAGCCGCATTTCCTTGTAATGTGTCCTTTTTTATACATGGGTGAAAACAAAGATCCCATAATTACTATAACAAATGAGTAGTCATAGAACGTTAATGTTATTATAATAATAATATATTATTTATACTTTGGGTTAATTCTTAGTTGCCCACCACGCTGCCACTTCAGTTACCTGTTACCCTTCATGTCTAGGGCTGCCTTGAGGTGTTTTAGGGTGTAGTGCTCACTTGGCAGGACATCTAGTCCTGAACAATTCCTTGGATAGGCTCTGTTGTAGTAATTCTCTCCAGAAATGAATATTTTGTAGTCAGGTCCAAACAGCTAGGTATGCCTAAAATGCCAATAATGGGGTATTTTTTGTATTATTATTTGTGATACAGCAAACATACATAAATAGAACATTAAATCAAAAGCACCGAAGCGCCACAACAAACACAACTAACAATACAGAACAAAGAATCCATGGGAATACCCACAGAAAACAGTACATAATAAATGCAAAACCGCACCGCCCAGACGTGGCGCGCCACACCAGGAATATGTACAGTGTAACACGAAACAAACTCATGATGTTTATGAGGAACATCAACAGGACACAACAAGGCTTATATAACAAAAGAATGGCACTGAAACACCACAAAATGCAGACAAAAAGGCTACCTAAAACAAAGAACAAACACCACACTCGGAGACGAGCCGAATCAACCTGTCCTCTTAAAAAGAACGTCACTTTTGGCCGTTTCCCCGTATGGCCGAATATGGACGTAATTTGAAAATGGAAAAAAAAAATTAATATAAATTTGGGATTTTTTTTCAACAACAGTAAGTTAAGGGTCCTCTGATAGGTTAGGTGGGCAGGAAATTCTCATAAAGTTTCAAAACGGCATGAAAAACGTTAATGGAAAGAATGCTTTTCTAAGCTGGCCGAGTGTGCCAGACAACTTGAACAGAAAACGGGACAGTACATCACTTTTGGGAGTCGATTTCATTTCAAATTACGTCCAAATTTGGCCATAGTGCGCATACCAGCGAAAAGTGACGTTATTTTTAAGAGGACGGGTTGCATATTTGTCAGGGAACAACCTCTGAAGATACTTGTCCATATACGCCTCCCAAAGCGCTCACTCCTCCGCGGAAGCGCCCCCCATCAAAATCGAAACGGGATTGACGCATGAAGACCGGAACACCCTGCAAACCCGAGGACTGCTCCACGGAAGACGGGAGCACAGATGACGTTATCACAGGAGGTTGTCGCACGGAGGACAGAAGTGCAGAAGACACGAACACCGGACTGCAGGTCAGAGGACAAGGGCACGGAGCTGAAGCGGGCAGCGTCCTTTTTCAAGATAAGGACCAAGTCCCGATCCACACCAACGCCGACATCAGAGAGCACAACCCAACGCCTGGGAACCATAACACGTGGGCACAAAGCAGGAACCGAGGGGGGTTCCACCCCCACAACAGGGGCACCAGCCACTACCCCGGCCTCACGACAAGCCAGGCCCGCACCATCCCTAGCACACCACAATCGCTATCAGCTGAAGAGGATACATTAGTGGTGGTATGATACATTTAATATATTTTACTAATGTACCATTGTTCTGCCTCGTACCTGAAAGTGCTTTTGCTATTCATATTGAGACTGCTTTTGAGAATTGGACTGAATTCATAGCACCACACAACAAAATTAAATGTCGTGAGAGCCCTTGACCTACTCGTTAGATTCGCTCAGGCGATATGCAAAGGTCAACAGCCTAAGTGAAGGGGATTTCAAAGTTTTGAGGTCTCAGCGTTTGCTCGCGCTTAATTTATTGTTCTTATATGGTCCCAGTGTGAGGAATGAGCTGCTTACTACACTTAGCGTGTTAGCTAAGCAAGTCCTTCCTCAGGAGACCCATCTAGACTTTCAGTTAAAGTTGACGAATGTAATATTAGAATATCACAACAGGAATAAGGATAAAGAAATTAAATGTTTTTCTCAATCCATAAAATAAAATTCCAATTCCATCAATTTAAACTTTTTCACACTATAAACCCTACCAAGACCATCCTAACCAAACCACATTTATTTATTTATTTATTTATTTATATACAAGAAGGTACATTGGGTTTGTGAGAATACATAGCATAGTACAGTAATTACACTCTTGTAAAGCCACTAGTACGCGCAGCGTTTCGGGCAGGTCCTTAATCTAACAGATAATTTTAAGTAGGTAAATTCTATCAGAATTAATAAAATGATAACAGATACATTGCAAAAAAAAAAAAACTTAACATTCACTTAACATCACTTAACATTTGCTAAGCTTAACTAAGCATAAACCTACAATACATAACAAATTAATTTATATTTGTGAAATATTTTTTATTGCAATGCATAAAAGATTCCTCAACCGATTACTAAATTTATAGGTCAAGTACTGATCATGGTCTGCCAGTGTGTGAACTGTTGTCTCGGGACGGAGGTTGGTGGGAAGAACCAGCGTGTAACCAAGCAGTTGGAAATGAGTGAAAATGAGGACAAACTAATAAAGCATGTGATGCTTGCATTACTAAAAGAAACCGAGAGAATGATCGAAGCTTCTTAACGACATTTAGATCCTCCTAGAAGGAACAAGTCAAGCTATCGTGATGGTGCTTGACATGTTAGATCATTATTTCTCAACATTGTTTTGTCCATGGCCCCCCACGTGAGCCCCAGTTACCCCCCTCATTGCCGCTGTTAGATATAAGGCACTTCGCGTTCAACACTATTACTCTATAATGTATCATAAAACAGCGTTTGCTAAGAAAAAGATCCATTCTATGCAAGCAAATTGACTGTTCACTTTCCATGAAACACTTTACCATATATTTTTGAGTGTTTTAAATACACTAAAGTCTTCTCTAAACTGTTATATTTGTCATCTAACGGTGAAATGTTGCTCTAACATTGGAATCATGTAGTGTGTTGGGAAGAAAAACAGTCACACTTACACTGCTGCCGACGGAGGTGGGTTGAATGTCTCTAGAGGTGCCGGGTTTTCCCACCTCGCGTCGTTCTCAACTTTGAGTGCATTTTCATGCATGTAGATTTTTGTTTATTACAGTCTACTTATAACATTTATTTATCTATTCGAAACTATGCTGATGAAATTGGCACAGAGTGTTTGCTAAGGGTTATGACAGAGTGATCATGCGCCTGGCAGGTAAGTCCAGGTCCCCCTTCCCCCCCCCACCCCCGTCGAAACTTTTTGTGGCTTCCTCTCGTAACATTTTTTCATGTGTTTACCTTTTACAGTGATGCGTGGTCTAGCCCTTTATATAAGTGGTACAGTTTTCCAAAGCCACTGACACATTTCTACTGACCTTGTTCTACCTGTTGAATTCAACCCGTCCTAAGACTCACAGCTGATGACGTCCGAAAACTTCCGGAACAAGTGCTTCGTTGACGAGTTTTGTTCGAACCACAACGCTGTAAATGCTTCACCCACGCACTACAAATACAAATATTCGACAACAGAACCTAAACACCTAACCTAACCAATACCTAAATATTAACAATATGCTAATATAAAATAATATTTATATTTGAGATAATTCCTATTTTGAAGGAACAGCATGATAAAATTGATGATTGTGTCTTTGGGGTCGACCGCTGGCTGAAATGGACCTGGTGGCAGATTCACGAAAGCACTTACGAACCTATACATCTTTTCTCAATCTTTGACGGCTTTGTTTCCAATTATTTAACAGTTAATGAGCTCCGAAGCACCAGGAGGCTGTTTATAACAATAACAACATTTGATTGGCAAGTTTTCAATACTTGTAAACTGTTTAATAAATGTAACCAAAGCCGTCAAAGATTGAGGAAAGATGTACACGTCATAAGTGCTTTCGTGAATCTAGGCCCTTCTGGCTTGAGAACGGGTTGAACTAGGAGGGCCTAGAATTACAAAATCAAAATTCTCATATAAAAATTAGAGGGATACGACTGCAGTGTTATTAATTTTGTTACAAAACATCCACCATAAATGTAATAAATGTGTTTTATATTTTTCTTTTCTCAGCAGTGCCGTACCCTGTTCTGTACATGCGGGAGCGGCTGCCTGACGCGCTTAAGGAGGGAGACGGGATCACCAGGACTCTGGAAGGTAGCCTCGCCGCCGACTATGTCATTCACCAAGGTGGGCACTTGGGGCCCATAAATTGCCCTTGTGATCTTGTCTTGTAGGCACATGGCCAGTTTTAATTTAATATTAATCTAAATAATTCTGTATGTTTTGATTTTTGCATATGTTTAGACATTTTTGGTAAATTTTTTCAGAAGGAACGAAAATACTAGGTTTGAATTGTTTATGAACACACAGTATGTGAGTATGATGAGTGAATATTATACATGGAAGATGGTTGAGTTTTGTTAAGAATTGTTAACTGCTGTAAGATTATCCTCAGTGTTGCCAAGTGTTGAACTTACAGGCTATTCACGAACGTATGATTAAGCCACTCTTGGGTGGCTTAATCTTCATCAATCAATCGAGTGTTGAAAATGTCCGCTAGATGTGCTTGAGTCTCCAGCGTGCAAGTTTACATGAATACCAAATGTTGGGTGTCCCGAGTGTACCAAACGTTGGGTGTCCTCGAGTGTACCAAACGTTGGGTGCCCTCGAGTGTACCAAACGTTGGGTGCCCTCGAGTGTACCAAATGTTGGGTGTCCCCGAGTGTACCAAATGTTGGGTGTCCCGAGTGTACCAAATGTTGGGTGTCCCCGAGTGTACCAAATGTTGGGTGTCCCCGAGTGTACCAAATGTTGGGTGTCCCCGAGTGTACCAACAAATGTTGGGTGTCCCCGAGTGTACCAAATGTTAGGGAGCCGGTCGGCCGAGTGGACAGCACGCTGGACTTGTGATCCTGCCGGCGAGAAACAATAGGCAGAGTTTCTTTCACCCAATGCCCCTGTTACCTAGCAGTAAAATAGGTACCTGGGTGTTAGTCAGCTGTCACGGGCTGCTTCCTAGGGGTGGAGGCCTGGTCGAGGACCGGGCCGCGGAGACACTGAAAGCCCCGAAATCATCTCAAGATAACCTCAAGAAGATCCCCGAGTGTACCAAATGTTGGGTGTCCCCGAGTGTACCAAATGTTGGGTGTCCCTCCGTCCTATCCTATATTTTGTTGAATGTGACAAGTGTGTACCAGCTGTTTATAGATGTTGTCGAAGTGTATTGCGTTGTATTGATATTGTAGAAGTGCTTCAGGTGTTACTGTATGCTGAAGTGATGCTCCAGCTGCATGAGAATAGACTCCACAAGGACGAGTCCTCAACCCTAGTCTTTTAACATTCTAATGGAAAACCTCGTTACCGTGACATTTGCAGGAGTTAAATTGCCAAGCTATGCTGATGATATAGTATTAGCCGTCTCAGGTCCTTCACTCTTGAATAAAGCACAACTGCCGCTAGATAAAGTAACACATGAATGAACCATTTGAGGGATCAAAATATCAGCACAAACATTTAAGTCAATCAGACTAGTTGGCAACACCGGACGGACACATTCAAGACATTAACCCTTAATGGATCACACATAATATCAGTATCTAGGAATGTGCAGATTCTAACATAACATTCAACCAGCAAATTCAATTTTTGAAGGAGAAAGCATAACTCGATGGAATGAAATGAGTTCAATCACAGAGCCCTGTCTAGGATTGAGACACAGTTAAGAATGTTTGCATCCCGTTCTTTTCCTAGTTGACTAGGCAACGCCTTACTCACTTTCTCTTGGCAAGTGGGCAAAGGATGAGGCTATTCCATGAGAGTCATAACGGCGGCTCGCAGATAGATTCAAATATTAAACCTAAGACTGGAAACCAAATTAACACGGGTTGAAATAAGGATAAAAGGGATTCGTGCCTGCATGCTGACCAACATATTGACCAGACCAAGAAGCAGTTCACTTAAAGATATAAACAATGGAGCACTAGGCTCGGGACATAAGAGCTTCCACTAGCAACGGGTGGACACTGAGAGTAATAAACAATATCAATTCGAGAATATTCGAGAACATAAATTATTATATTCGAGAACATGAACACAATCAGTGACAGGGGGTGTCGACACAGTACATGCAAAATTCATTACGCAAGCCCTAAATCATAGAGGAATATCAGGGAGTGACATTGAACATGAAACTACAAAACTTAAAGAGGCTTCCTGTCCTTGTCGAGGCTACTACGGTTAGAGGCCCTCAGGTTAATCAGGTAAATAATTTAGCACAGATGAAGAAAATAATTAGAGGCACAACAATGCAGATGTTGTACAGTGAACATAATGCAGAACCTGCAACAGCACGACCTGCGGGTTGGAACAAGAATTCAACCAACCATGAACTACTTACTACATTTGGCTTGGATACCCATTATTTAATTGAGTTATTAAGTAGTTCTTCAGGTCTTTTTAATTATACAATCATTACTGAACTATCTATAGTTATTAATCATTAGCTTAAATTTGCCTATGTTTATTATTCAACTGTTCTTTGATTTATTTTATTACCTAGGTTGCCTAGCCTCGCCATGCTCCCTTACTCCATTGTACCCCTGGCTTTGCCTGCATCTCAAATTGCAAATTGTTACTTAGTGTACCTGAGAGTACTCGTAAGCAATCTACCTCATTTTTTCTTTTTTTTTTCATTTTTGCTCAATTTGTTTTTTTTGTATTGCCTAGTCTTGCTTATATTTTTTGTTTTGTATTTCTATATCTTGTGTTTTGTATAGTCCATGTTTACATGTTTTTTCTTTAATCTCATTAATTGCCTAGGTTGCCTAGCCTAGCCATACTCCCTTACTCCATTGTACCCCTGTAAGCCCCTTTTGTGTTTGTTTTGTACAGTATTGTGTATATATTTTTCCCTATTTTATAGCTTATTTCTACTTATTTCTGATTCTACAATCAGCTTTTTTTATGCAGTCAAGTATAGACCCAGAACTTAACCTCTTATCCACTATCTATGACAATAATCACTTTAATGATCTAAATTGCAGATATTTTGCAGCACATGATGTAAAAAATGTATTAACTCATAATCACAATATCTCTGTAATCAATTTGAACGTTAGATCCCTAGGTAAACACTTCGATGATGTTAGTGCCTTGATTGAAACTATTGGCAACAAATTCTCTTTTATTATACTTACTGAAACATGGTTGAAAGAGGATACTACTCAACTCTTTAACATGCCTAACTACTCAGCAATTCACAACTGTCGTCAACTTCAGAGAGGTGGTGGCACTGCTCTTTACTACCACCAAGAACTAACATGCTTAAAAGAAATTAGAACTAGAGACTGCTATGGGGAGTATATCTTCGCCAGCTTCAGAGTCAAGGGTGCCGAGTCTGTCCTGTCTGTGGGTGCAGTCTATAGAATTCCCAACACTGATGTGTCTGTATTCAACTCAAACCTTAGAAATCTAATACTTGATAACAGACTGAACAAAAACCACCTTATTATCGCAGGGGACTTTAATATTGACCTCTGCGAGCCTGAACACCCTACTGCTGTTAGCTTCCTCAACTGTATGAATTCCTGCTTCCTCATACCCTTAATCACTAGACCTACTAGAATCACTGATAGCACTGCCACGACTCTAGATCACATCTGGACCAACATAACCTCTCCGCTTACTTCAGGTATAATCACCGATAGCACTACAGACCACTACCCCACATTTCTCTTAACTAACATTAGCAAACCACCTCTAGAAACAAGGGAGTTAAGCTTTAGGCTGCACAATGAAACTGCTATAAACAATTTTATAACTGCTGCTGATAATGTCAACTGGGAGTCCGAGTTAGGTAACATAGGGGACATCAACCTAGCTGTGCAATCTTTTCTACAAACAACTCTTAGCCTTTATAACACCCACTGTCCTAGGCTTACAAAACAAGTCACAAGCAAAAGGCTTAACAATCCTTGGCTTACAAAGGGAATACTGAAATCCATTAACAAAAAACACGACCTTGAGAAGAAGTATAGGTTAGGAATTGTCTCCAAAGAATTCTCAAAGAATTACTCATTATTGCTATCTAAGATAATTAGACGAGCCAAAACTAAATACTACGAAGATAAATTTACTCAAATAAAGAGCAACATTAAACAAACTTGGAGCACAGTTTCACAAATATTGGGATCAAAGAAATCTTTAAATAACAAACCGACTCTCCTGTCTAATAACGATGGTCAGCTTTCAGCCTCTGATTCTGCTATTGAGTTCAATAGGTTCTTCTCTTCCATTGGTTCATCCCTTGCAAATGATATTCCATCTTCCAGTACTGACATTAAGGACTATCTTACAGGTAACTATCCACAGTCTCTGTACCTAAAGCCTATTAACTCCACTGACGTCAATGAGATAATCCTTTCCCTTAAAACCAAGTCTGGTGCCCTTGAGGAGATACCAACTTTAATTTACAAAAAAGCCTCCAGATCTTTAGCCCCTGCTATTGCTCTGCTCTTCAACAAGTCACTTGAACTCCAAATCTTTCCAGGTATTCTAAAAAAGCGAGAGTAACGCCTGTCCACAAATGTGGTGACCCCACAGATGTTAACAACTACAGACCTATAT